AAAAAAAAAATTGCAATTTTTTGGAGATTTGCAGCAATTTAAAAAACTCGAAGATGAATTGTGTAGCCTAGAAATACTGAATAAATTAAGAGAAAGATGGCATGTATAAAATATATGTAGATACTAGTCTGTTTCATCATTTACTACCATGAAATATACACAAATCTATTGTTAAAAAATTAAAATTTATCAAAATTTAATGCATACAAACTCTAACAGACTATACATGGTACCATTCATAGCCAAGAGAAATGTAAACAAACAAAGATGCAATATTGTCATAATTGCATAAAATTAATGGTAGTACATGATGTACTAGTATAATAATTTTGTAGCCACCTCCTGTTGGTATTGCAGTGAGCTCAAGTGTTTTGAGTATCTACTTAAAATTCTGTGTGACATTAATTATTTTCACCTGAGCAGCTCATATCTCCAGTAAATTCTGCATCACAGTAAAAAGTGATCTCTCAAGGTTCTCACATATTTTTATCACATTTAGTGCAATACCTTAAGCCTTTAATAACATCATGGGCTCCATATGAAGTGTCATTAATGATGTTGGAAGTGCTCCCAAGAAGCAGAGAAAAGTTATGACATTATAAGAAAAAAATTGAGTTGCTTAATATATACTATACATTGATTTCTGCAGCTATAGTTACCCACCATTTCAAGATAAATGAATCTAGCGCAGCTATGCCAGCAGTCATGACATCTTGCACTTTTTGTAAAATATATTTTTATTTTGTATTGAAAATGTGGCTTTTTATGTGGGTTCAGGATTGCTATAAGAAAGTATACATATAGCTTCTAATATAATTTGAGAAAAAGTGAAGTCATTATATGACAAAGCAAAAGGAAGGTGAAGGATCTAAAGCTGGAAAATTTAATGCCAGCAAAGGATGATTTGATTATATTAGAAAGAGCTGGCCTGGCGCGGTGGCTCACGCCTGTAATCCCAGCACTTTGGGAGGCCGAGACGGGAGGATCACGAAGTCAGGAGATCGAGACCATCCTGGCTGACACGGTGAAACCCCGTCTCTACTAAAAAATACAAAAAACTAGCCGGGCGAGGTGGCGGGCGCCTGTAGTCCCAGCTACTCGGGAGGCTGAGGCAGGAGAATGGCGTAAACCCGGGAGGCGGAGCTTGTAGTGAGCCGAGATCCGGCCACTGCACTCCAGCCTGGGCGACAGTGCGAAACTCCGTCTCAAAAAAAAAAAAAAAAAAAAAGAAAGAGCTTTGGCTTAAAAAATGTCAAGATAACAGGAGACGTGCTTGCTAACAACCAAGAAGGAGGAGATGAATTCCCAGATGCCATTATGAAAATCATTGAGGAGGAAGGATATCTGCCTGAACAGATTTTTAATGCAGACAAAAGTGCCCTATTCTGGGGGGGAAAAAAAAAAAAAAAAGCAAGCCACAAAGGCCATTTATTAATAAGGAGGAGAAGTGAGCACCAGGATTAGGGAGGGAAATAATAAGCTAACTACTGTTTTGTGCAAATGCAGTCAGATTTATGATCAGGACAACCCCTATCTATGAAGCTACCCCCTCAAGCCTTGAAGGGAAAAGATGAATATCAGCTTCCTCTCTTTTGGTTATACAAGACCCTTTTTCTGGATTAGCTCCGTCAATGCTTTGTCCCTGAAGTCAGAAAGTCCTTGCCAATAAGAGACTGCCTTTTAAAGTTTTTTTTGATATAGACAATGCCCCTGACCACCCAGAACCCCATGCGTTCAACATCAAAGGCATCTAAGTGGTCTAATTTCCCCCAAACACAACATTCTAATTCAGCCTTTATATCAGGGAGTCATATGGATCTTTAAGGCTCATCACATACCATACTCTATGGAAAAGATTGTCAATGCTGTGGAAGATAACCCCAATAGAGAGAACATCATGAAAGTCTGGAAGGATTATACCATCAAAGATGTCCTAATTGTTATAGAAAAAGCCATGAAAACCATCAATCCTAAAACAACATATTTATACTGGAGAAAACTATGTCCAGATGCTATATATGACTTCAGAGGATTTACAACAGAGCCAATCTTGAAAAAGATTGTGGATATGGCAAAATAAAAAGGTGAGGATGAAGGGTTTCAAGATATGGATCATGGAGAAATTCAAGAGGTAATAGACACCACTAATAGACACTTTTAATTCCACACTAGAGGAACTAAAAGATGACTTGATGGAGATGAGTGCTTCCAAAGCAGTGCCATATGAGAAAGAAGACATAGAAAAAGCCATGCCAGAAATAAATTGACATTAGACAATCTGGCAGACGGGTTCCAGTTATTCAAGACTGCTTTTGACTTCTTTTATAACATAGACCCTTCTATGATACAGGCACTGAAACTAAAGCAAATGATAGAGGAAGGATTACTACTATATAGAAAATCTTTATAGAAATAAAAAAGCAAAAGTCAGACAGAAATTATAATGTATTTCCATAATTACACCAAAGTGTCTGCCTCTCCTGCCCCCAATTCTACCTCCTTCATCTCTTCCACTTCTGCCACCCTTAAAACAGCAAGACCAATCCCTTCTGTTTCTCCTCCTCCTCCTCCTCCTCAGTCAACTCAACATAAAGATGATTAGGATGAAGATGTTTATAAGCCACTTCCACTTAATGGATAGTAAACATATTTTTTCTTCCTCATAATTTTCTTAATAACATTTTCTTTTCTCCAGCTTACTTTATTGTAAGAATAGTATTTAATACATATGATATACAAAATATGTGTTAATCAACTGTTTGTGTTATTGGTAAGGCTTCCAGTCCACAGTAGGTTAATAAGAGTTAAGCATTTGGGGAGTCAAAAGCTACACATGGATTTTTTACTGCAAGAGGGCTCAATGCCCCTAACCCCTGAGTTCTTCCAAAGTAAACTGAATATAGGAAGCTTCTTTACTTTTTCAAACATTTAACATGGCGTTGATATGTCAACCTAAAGGAAAACACGGAGACAAATTTAATATAAAAAGAACTGATTTGGGCCAAGTTTGAGGACTGCAACCCAGGAGCACAGAGTCAAATTGCCCTGAATATACACTCCATTAGCAGCAGTTACAAGTAGGTTTTTAAAGGAAAAACAAGAGTCAACTTCTAAGTTGTTTACCAAGAACTTACATTAAAATTGTATAAGCTATTGATTGGCTATACACTGTTCTTTGTATCACAAATTCCAGGAACATGAAGATGATGGGTGACACAGCTAGTCAGGAATCAAAATGCCTTTTAACAATTGCCCCCAGGCATTGGTAGAGGGCAGCATGACAAGTCCCATATGCCTGGCTATCTGAGCTTGATAAATTTTTCATACCACGCATAGCGCAGACTACTCTGAGCTATTTTTCTTCTCTCACATTGAATGCCACAATGTAGTCACCCACTCAGGGCCTAGAGAAGAAAAGAAATGGAATCCTCAGATTCAACAAAACCTCCTCTGCTCAACTTCATCCAGTTCACAGAACACCTCTCAGAGCTGGGCACTTTTATGTGCTAACAATTCATGCAGCTTGATACCTTTTCCTTTAGAGCCCAGTAGGAAAAAAGATGAGGAAACAGGTTAAAATGTTCATCTTATTGCTTAAATGATAAGCTGCTCTTCAGAGTTTCAAAAAGCAAATTAGGCCACGTTCCAACTAAAAGAACTATAGAGGCAGAAAGGGGGTGATCTCTTTTCTGTCATAAAAGGTAATGGCCAACACCCCTATAACAAAAGACAGGTTACAAGAGAAAAACATAACAGATTTATTATGTGAACATGTGTGCATAAGAGCCTTAGAAAACATGAACTCAAAGGAGGGCCAGTTCGCTCACGTTTAAATATTCTCTTCACTGGGGATAGGGGAGATGAAAGTGTAAAAGTAAATGATTTTTCAGAGGAAATTAATGAGTCCAAAGAACAGCAGCCCAGACCAACTTTCTCTGTGCTTTGGGGGAGGTGTAATCACCCAACAGATTCATCTTGCTCACTGCCCAGAAAAGCTGATGCACTGAGAACAGCAGGTTTTTCCAATAGGGAGAGTTTAATAAACACACAGCTGTCAGAGGCATTTGAAACAGAGTGACTCCATCTTGAATAGGGGTTGGGTAAAATGAGGCTGAGACCCCTAGGCTGCATTCCCAGGAGGTTAGGCATTCTTAGTCACAGGACGAGATAGGAGGGCAGCACAAGATTCAGGTCACAAAGACCTTGCTGATAAAACATGATTCAGTAATGAAGCTGGCCAAAACCCACCAAAACCAAGATGATGAAAAAAGTGACCTCTGGTCATCCTCACTACTTATTATATGCTGATTCTAATGAATTAGCATGCTAGAAGACACTCCCACCAGCACCATGACAGTTTACAAATGCCATGGCGATATCAGGAAGTTACCCTATCTAGTCTAAAAAGTGGAGGAACCCTCAATTCTGGGAACTGCCCATTTCTTTCCTGGAAAACTCATGAATAATCCACCCCTTGTTTAAAATGTAATCAAGAAGTAACTATAAGCATACTCAGTTGAGCAGCCCATGCCACTGCTCTGCCTATGAAGTAGCCATTCTTTTATTTCTTTACTTTCTTAATAAACTTGCTTTCACTTTACGGACTGGCCCTGAATTCCTTCTTGTGAGAGGTCCAAGAACCCTCTTTTGGGGTCTGGCCAGCTAAACAGAAGGACAGGAGTTTATTACTACTCAAATCAGCCTCCATGAAAATTCAGAGGCTAGGTTTTTTTAAGGATAGTTTGGTAGTCCGGGGCTAGGGAATGGGGAATGTTGATTGGTTGGATCAGGGATGAAACCATAGGGAGTCAAAGCTTGTCTTCTGGTCTTCCTGGGAGGAGACCACATGACAAGATGAACCAGTTTAGCAGTCCCGGTAGTGCCAGCTGGCCCATCAGAATGCAGGGTTTGAAAAATATCTTGAGCACCAATCTTAGGTTGTACAATGGTGATGTTATCCACAGGAGCAATTGGAGACTTCTGACTGCATGACTCCTGAGCCCTAACTTCTTACCTTGTGGCTAATTTGTTAGTTCTACAAGAGCAGTCTGACCCCCAAGCAAGGAGGGGGTTTGTTTCGGGAAAGGGCTGTTACCATCTTTGTTTCAAAGTTAAGCTATAAACTAAATTTCTCCCATAGTTAGCTTGGCCTATGCTCAGGAATGAATAACGGAAACTTGGAGATTAGAAGAAAGATGGAGTGATTACATTTTTTTCACAGTCATGATATTTTTAAAGGTGATTTCAGAGGTAACTTCACAGGATATAGGAGACTGAAGGGAGGAAAGCATGTCAAACAAAGGCTGTCCTGTTCTGCAGATGAAACCTCACAGAGAGCGGCTCTCAGAGTCAGTCGCCTATGATGAAAGTTTCTCTGTCAGACATTCAGCGGTGCCTGACTCTCAGTCTCTCTCTCCTGCGAGTTACTATTTCCTAGAGTGGGCAAGGGAGGCCTCCGAGAAACCTAGTTTCCATCTTCTGTTTACTTCCCTTTATTTTCCCCACAGATAAAAACTCCTTCACAAAGGCAGCTTTTCAGGGCTGTTTCTGTCTGCAGGCCCTCTGAATGGCCATCTCAAAATCTTTCTAGGAAGTACACATTTTGCAGTAAAATATTTTTTGTTTTCTTTAGTATGAAGCAATGTATATTATTAGATTATAGAAGCATTAAAACCATCTATGATCCCACTTTTAAACAAACTAATCTGAAAGTCTAACATTGGGGCGGATTCTAAGCAATGTATTATAAAGAATAATGTGTTAATGAGTAAACTAAGTTAATTGGTCTCCTTAAACCAGAGGGTCAGTTTACTCCACGCCACATGGCCAAAGGCAAAAGTCCAACATTACATCAAACTCAGATAGAGATTAGGAAGGAGGAGAAAAGCAGCTCACTTAGCCAAAGAAAAAGCAATAAATTCAATTTTGTAGAAAAGGGGGGCATAAATGGAATTGCCATTTAAAATATTATTTTTCTGAAAGAAAACATAAGAAATTAATGGTCTTATTTGCAACTGTAACACTTATTGCAGTATGTTCTCTTCTTTCCTCAGGTTTGGCCAGAGCCAGACTTTGCAGACAGATTACATCACATATATGGATGAGCTGGGCTCTTTCATAGGGGCCAAGCCTAACATACCATGGCTCTTCCTGACAGATCCCCGCCTGGCCCTGGAGGTGTACTTTGGCCCTTGCAGCCCATATCAGTTTCGACCGATGGGACCAGGGAAGTGGGATGGGGCCAGAAATGCCATCCTGACCCAATGGAACCGGACAGTGAAGCCAACCAGGACAAGAGTTGTCAGTGAAGCTCAGCGACCCCACCCCTTTTACAATTTGCTTAAAATGCTTTCATTCCCATTACTCCTTCTGGCTGCTACACTTACATTTTATTAATGAGAAAGTCTTTGAGGTCTCAAAGTTCAGAGTAGAAGTGTAATCACACAATACAACACACACACACACACACACACACACAATCACAACATAGTTCCTCTCTCCTTTCCTGAAGATATGAAAATCAGTCTTGGCCTATTTGAATTAAAGTATAAGTAAAATGGAAAATACTCAGCCTCTCTCTTTGTTGGGAATCTGTTCTCTAAAAGGCTTTTCACATGCTGAATTGGCAAATTTGGGGATGCTTAAGACACGACAGGAAGTTGAATATGCATGAGCATGGGTTTTCAGGCTGAACAAAGTTTAATAAACTGTAAAGGCATTTTATTTTGTCCATTATAGTATATCAACCAAATGTATTTTTCACATTAACTGAAGTTCTTGACATTAAATCAACATAGAGAGTTAAGTTCATACCAAGACAACAACAAAGATAAAATGAACACATTGCTTAAAAGATACACACTGCCAAAGCTCTCCCAAGAAGAAACACATAACCTGAATAGACCTAAATCTATTAAAGTACTTGAATTTGTAGTTTAAAAACTCTTCCACAAAGAACAACAGGCCAAGATGGCTTCACTGGTTAATTCTGTCAAACATTTAAGAAAGTAGTAGACCAATTATACACAAAATTTTCCAGAAGATTAAAGAGGACAGAATAAACCTCAGCTCATTGTACGAGGTCATCAAAGCCCTGACACCTAAACAAGACAAACACAATCTAAAAATGTCAAATATAGATCAATATCCTTCATGAAGATATATGCAGAAATTCTTAACAAATGTTAATATAATCCAACAGTATATAAAATAAATCACATAACCAAGTAAGAATTATTCTGGGAAAGCAATGTTGGTTTAATAGTCAATGTAATTCACCACATTTGTAAACTAAAAATGAAAAACCATATGATCATCTCAATAGATGCATAAAAACCATCTGACAAAAGCCAACATCCATTCCTGAAGAAAACTCTCAACAAAGTGATAGAAGGAAACTTCAACATGAAAAAGAGCATCTATGAAAAACCTACAACTAACATCATACTCAATGGTGAAAAACTAACTGCAGTATTTCTAAGATCAGGAATGATATAAAGGTCTTGGTTCTCACCACTTCTAGTCAGCATCCTACTGGGGCTTCTAGGCAGTGCAATAAAGGAAAAAAAAGAGAAATAAAAGATATCAAAAGTGGAATGGAAGTAGAACTTTCTTTATTCTTAGACAACATGATTGTCTATGCAGAAATTTTGAACTGTACACAAAAATTACTAGAATAATTGTATTTCTGTATACTAACAGTAAATGGAAAAATAGAAAATTGTAAACTATTATTTATAACACCCAAAAATATGAAATATTTAGGATAAGCCAGCATAAGAAAGGTAAAAACTATACACTGAAAGCTAGAAAACATAGCAGAGAGAAATTAAAGGTCAAAAATAAATGGAGAGATACACTTATCTTGGGTTGGACCACCAATATTGTGGTGATGTCAATTATCCCCAAATTGATCCATAGTTTCAATGCAATACTCCTAACATACTTTTTTATAGAAGTTTATTCTAAAATTAATGAGGTATTTAAAGGACCTAGAATTGTTAAAAATAACTTTGAAAAGCCCAGGCACAATGGCTCACGCTGGTAATCCCGGTACTTTGGGAGGCTGAGGCAGGCAGATCACCTGAGGTCAGGAGTTCGAGACCAGCCTGGCCAACATGGAGAAACCCCATCTCTACTAAAAATACAAAATCAACCAGATGTGGTGGTGCATTCCTGTAATCCCAGCTACTTGGAAGGCTGAGACAGGAGAATCGCTTGAAGTGGAGGTTGTGGTGAGCAGAGATAGTGCCATTGCACTCGAGCCTGGGAAACAACAGTGACACTCTGTCTCAAAAAGAAAACAAAAAAATCTGGAGCACTAATACTACTTGACTTCTGATTTCAAAATTTCTTATTTTATGAAGCTACAATAATCAAGTCAGTATGTTATGTTGTGAAGATAAACAATAGGTCAATAAAAAAGAATGGAATGTCTGGAAATAGAATCACAAGATATAGACAAAGGTGAAAATTCAGTAAAGACAGGAGAGTCTTTCCAACAAATGGTGCTGGAATCATTGGATATCATGCGATATGAAAAAAAAAACCTTCAGTCAATACTTCGCACTATATATAAAAAGTAACTGAAAGAGTATTACAGAACTAAAACCCTAAAACATCCAGCAGAAAATGAAAATCTTTGAGTTAGGCAAAAATGTCTTACATACACTACTAAATGCACAATATTCATTTTAAAAACTGTAAATTGGATTTCGTCAAAATTAAGAACAATTCTAATATTCCCTTAGGAAAGAATATAGTAAGTACATTGATGCTTATGACATCCATATTATTTGTATCTAATAAAAGCAGGATGAATATTCTAACTCAATTTGTCTAATTGGAGAGATGGATAGGACATAGTAGAGAAAGTTCAGACTTGAAAAGAAAAATGTATACCAAACTATCTCAGTTTGTTTTTAGAATATATATAATTTATCCTAATCAAAATTGGCTCAAACCAGATGTGTCTCCAAAGTATTCTCATGTACATGTGTGTATGTGAACACACATGCTAGTGTTGTGTTGTGTTTAGTATGATGCTAGATTCTATAACAGAAAGAGTCTGTAAGAATTATAAGCTGATTTTCCAAATATCCTATGCAAATATCTCTGAGTCCTCTGTTCAATCTGGGGACTACCAATGAAGACTAATCTGGAATCTTGGAGAGAGACACTTGGGAAGAACAAGAAAAATAATATTTTGAGTGGGGGTCTCTGTTTCTGGAACATGTTTCAGGGTGTGAGAGTCTCGTTCCCTCCTCAGACGTGGTACTAGAGGGATGCTCTCCTCAATCAAGACTGTGGTGAAAGTGTGGCTAAGTGGACTGCTGAGCCCTTCAGACTTAGTTTATTTGGGCCAACTAGAAACTTTTTTGTAATTCAGACTTCTTGATATTTTATTCAATCATACGGATAATATTACTTTGCACTAAATTGAATTTGATGGAATGCTGCTTATAACCTCTGTGTATTTGGTCCTGTGTAGCAAGTAGACAGAAGTATGGTTCTTCCCATCGTCTTTACCAACTATGCAAAATAAAATGAGAACAAAGAGCCATTAAGGAGTGACAAAAGGTGAGGGAGAATGCCAACTCAAAGCTAACTCATGTACCTCATTCTTCTGATTGGGCAGTCTGCTCATCCGTGAAATCTATGTATGTGTGTATATACAGTCTGTGACTGAATCTAGTGTAAGGACTATGCCAGACAAACCCATTAATAAACTCACTAAATAAAACTCTTTTACCAGGTGATTCCCAAAGACAATCACAGCTTTTCAATCAGATTGATAGCAGATCTCACAGTTAAAAAACTACTGCTTTACATCATGAGATACAGAAGAAACCATATTTTTAATGTTTCACTTTGCCTCTAAAATCCTAGCATAAATTAACATATTTTTAAAATAGGGTTAATAAAAGCGGTTTATACCTGGAATCCCAGCATTTTAGGAGGCCCAGGCACAAAGATTGCTTAAGCACAGGAATTTGAGACCAGATTAAGCAACATAGCAAAACCCTGTCCTACAAAAAAAAAAATTAACATTAAAAAATTAGCCAGGTTATATGATTCAGATGTGTGTCCCCTCCAAATCTCATGATGAAATGTGATCCCCAGTGTTGGAAGTGGGGCCTTGTGGGAAGTGATTCTCTCATAAACGGCTTGGTGCCCTCCCCAGGGTAATGAGTGAGTTCTCATTCTATTAGTTCACATGAGAGCTATTATAGTTGTTTAAAAGAGACTGGTACCTCCTCTCCTCTCTCTTGCTCCAATTCTAGTGCTCCCTTTCACACCGTGTGACATGCCTGCTCCCCCTTCACTTCTGCCATGATTGTAAGCATCTTGAGGCCTCACCAGAAGCAGATGTGGGTGCCATGCTTCTTGTACTGTCTGCAGAATGATGAACCAAAGTAAACCCCTTTTCTTTATAAATTACCCAGTCTCCGGTATTTCTTTATAGCAACACAAAATGTGTAACTGGCAAAAGGGTCCTACTGCTTGCCGCTTGTAGAAAGATGCCAACATAACAAGAGCGAAGTGTGACAGAGAAAGAGTGAGTTTTATTATCCGTGTTAGCAAGGAGAAGAGTGGGCAAAATTCTTTCCCCAAAATTTCCACTCTTCAATTTGTGGAAGGAACACAGGGCTTTTTGTTTTGTTTTGTTTTTGTTTTTGTTTTGTTTTGTTTGTTTGTTTTTAAGTGACAGGGGTTTGGAATGCAGGAGAGGAAGAGGGCTTAGAGGTGTCAAGTGGCATGATGTGCTCCAATGGCCTATCTTGAATTATTATTCCATTTGGTGAAGGGGCCAGTGCCATCCTGGGCCCAACCAGGTTACAAATTAATTGCAGTCCATCTTGCAATTAATTCCTAGCCAGAGGTGAGTTTTGGCCTTGACTGGGAAGAGAATTCCAGAAGTATCTTGTCCCTGTCAGGATCTGGCTCCCAAACTTCTAAGGAAATATATAACCAGGTAAGTGAGACTGGTGAGCACTTAACAAGCATCTGAGTTAATAAATGTGCATAAGGCATGGGAGCATAGAATGGGAAAAGAAAGGGAGTGGAGGTTCACAGCACATTCTGAGGCTGGATTTCTCCAAGTTATATCTTGAAACTGGGGAGAAAGGAGGAAAGAAAACAAAGTTTTAAAACGCAGTTTGAACCCAAGCTGCTTGGTTACAAATGGACTGATACATTAGGTGTGGTGGCATGCACCTGTAGTCCTAGCTACTTGGGAGGTTAAGGTGGGAGGATTACTTGAGCCCAGGAGTTCAAGGTTATAGTGAGCTATGGTCACACCAGTGTACACTAGAGCCTGGGTAACAGCAAGACTCTGTCTCTAAAAAATAAAAAAATAAAAACAAATAAAAATAATAGATACAGCATTGTAGTCATAGGAATTCACTAATGTTGATTCTCTTCTCTCTCTTATATTTGTATAGTGTCACATCTGAATCTTTTACAAACATTTATCTATTAATTTATATGGCATCTCCTCTGTTAATGTCACTCTGCCGTATTTTATAATGAGGAAATTGAAACTTTGAGGTAGTATAGAGGCA